TGCCCTACCCTTCCAGGGACCTAATAATGTAGGGCACAAGAAAAGCGCCCATGATTAGGTCCCTGGAACGTAATAAACCTAATACACATACACTGCACGTTTCTTTTCAAAGACCCCGAGAGGTCCAACCAGACCAACAGTCTGCTGGACTTTGCGTTGGCGGGGGCGTTCGGCTTTCGGCCTCTCAAGCTCTGTACAGCGGCCATGGTGAATTTGTCTCCCGCCTGCGGGCCTACCGAATTTGGGAGTTTACGAACATAGGGGTACCCTTTCGAAATTTCCTAGAATAAGGATCATACTATCTTGGGGTATATGAAGGGTACCCCTATTGGGAGAGATACCCAATTATATGTGCCTTCTAGGGAAAGGTATGGAAAGGCGCTCCCTTCTGCCTTCTGTCCGAATCCCCGTGAACTGTGTTTTAGCCAAGACGCTTGTAACAACGGAGCAAGACTTCAAGCCCATGGCGGTCGAAGCTTACGGGGGTACCGAAGGCATGGTGCACAATACTGGGTTTGCCAGTAGTAAACGAATTTAGAGTACGAGCGTTTATTTCGGGGAACGCGAGTCAGGCGGAGTGGCACACCCAACATGCATGTTTTTGACCAGGGTCAATCTTGTTGCAGGGTCGCCTTTGAGAACTTAGTTTGGGTCCCACTGCGATTTTTCGGGGATTCGCATTGTCCGGTCAAGTGACAGTGGGGCCGCCTTTCCCGTCAGGTGTCAGTGTTTGCGGCCTGCCAGCTAAGTCAACAGCCTGTGCTGCCGGCCGAAACCAATTTTGCCTACGCAGGATCATCACGAGTCTGAGTAGCTGAAGATGAGGTATAGGCAGAGTGTTTGGTTCAGTCATGTTCGTATCATCGACAGAGGCAACCTACACTACTGGTGCATACTTGTGCAAGGCATCCTGCGTGGACTCGTCTGTGGCTGTGGCCGCTGTTCCAAATTCCCCCTTCTTGCTCGACTTTCTGTCTTGAGCGTTCGTAGAAAGGAACCATATACAAGAACCACCCCAGTACTGTCTGCACAGTGCGCAGCGACGCATTCTGCAAAGCTGCAACACTTGCTGGTAAACAAAAGCGGAAAATGAATACGGCACTTTTGTTGCTTGGAGCTTCATGGGTACGTATACGGGGTTAGAAGTGTAAGTGTGTTGATGCCCTTGTGTCGGGTTGTGTTTATGTCCCTAAAACTTATAAGATTTAAACCCTAAACCCTAAACCCTAAACCCTAAACCCTAAACCCTAAACCTTCAAGTAAGGAGTGCCGACCTCTCCAGCATCTTGCAAACCTCACCCTACTCGGTGCTGGCGGCATGCCAGGATTGAACGCTGCCTTGAATGCCTGCTCAGGCAGGGTGAAGGGTGCAGGGTTTGGGGTTAGGGGTTTAGGGTTCTGGGTTCTGGGTTGAGGGTTTAGGGTTCTGGGTTCTGGGTTGAGGGTTTGGGGTTTGGGGTTCTGGGTTGAGGGTTTAGGGTTTGGGGTTTAGGGTTTAGGGTTCAGGGTTGAGGGTTTAGGGTTTATATGCCCTGCTTTAAGCCGCGCCTGTGCTGGGACCAGGCTGCCGCTTCCAAGGCCTGCTGTAACAGGGTTTAGGGGTGAGTGGGCTCTACTAATCCGCTAGTGCGCGGCTTTGTTGCAAGAAGGCCTTGCGGCGGCCGTGGGTTGTGTTGTTTGATGTTGCACCTGGTTTAGTATTATGGGCCTCCGCTTTAAAGACATTTTGGCCGGGTTATTCAGGACACCCTGACTGTTTGGGAGTCCCTCTTTAAAGCCAAACGGTCCCCGAAATCCCGCATTTGTTTTGAAGGATTTGGGGCTTGTTTCGGCCCGGAGGCTCCGAATTTGGATGCCTTGGTCTCTTGGCTTAAAGCCGGGCCTTATGAGTTTTAAGCCGGACCTTGTTTTTGGAGGCCATTTGAAAGGTCCAGGAGCCCCCTCGGGCCCGAATTATGGCACTGATTTGGGACCATGTTTTATGTCAAGGCCCCGGCCCGGAGACTCCGAATTTGGAAAAATCATATGGGTCCATTTTAAATTCATATAAACTCATTCCGGATCCCTTTTAAACTCATATAAGCTCATCCCTGTTAAATTCATATGGATCCCTTTTAAGATCATATAAGCTCATCCCTCTTAAATTCATATGGATCCCTTCTCAATTCATATAAGCTCATCCCTTGTAAAATCATATGTGGATCCCCTTTTAAATTCAGATAAGCTCATCCCTTTTAAGTTCATATGGATCCCTTTTAAATGCATGTAAACTCCTCCCTATTAAAATCAAATATAAGCCCCCGGGGCTGTCTAAACAGGGCAAAATCCAGCCTCGACTGGTCAAGGGGGGGGGGGGGGTGGGGGGGGGGGGGGGGGGGGGGCGGGCCCTACAGTAAAGCAGGTGCAACATCATTCATCCGTTCCATGAAAACAATACTGGACTCCAGCGCCTCGAGCTTTGGCAAGGGGTCCCACACCTCAGAAGGCGTCTTTTTGCCGTGCGAGACTCAAAACTGCAAGGATGTTCAGGGTTCATGGTTTGGGGCTGATGTGGGGGTCTTAGCACATGCGCATTTTGCAGGCGCCGCTCCGCTGAGAGTGGTGGTGGAGCTGCTCCGCAGGAGCACGGTGTCGGCAGTCCGTGTCGGATCATAGCAATTCGCAGCAGCTAGGACCGGGAGTAGGCCCTTGTTTCCTCTTTTTGGGGTTGGGGTTCCCTTATACTCCCCTGAAAATCAAAAGGGGTACCCTTTTTTATTCCAAGGTCACTCCTGAGTCTAGGCTCTTCACTATGTTGAACTTGGAAGACTACAGAGGTTTTGTTCGTCCCTCAAGCGAGACAAGGGCTGATGATGTCGGACACTACTCCCGCAGTCCACATCACGCAAGCTGCCAGAGAATCGAGCATGTGAGGATGCGGCGTGGCCGGCTGCGCCCGGATGTCTCAGACCCAGTTACAAGGGATCTGCATCCTTGAGGGCCCAGCTGCTCCAAAATCCATCCACTGACTTTAATACAACCCCTCTCCCCTCCACCCTCACCTTCTTGCTAGCCCCGTGATGCCCTTTACCCTTGTTGTTGGTTTTGGGTTCCCTTAAACCAACCCGCGCTTTGTGAAAGGCGAGAATGCCTTCCTGTGGTCCCCCCTTTCCCTTTTTTACACCTTTGGCAGACTGCAGCATGACCCTTTAAAGCACCTTAAAACCCGCAGGCGAACCCTATAAACCCCATAAACCCTATAAACCCTATGAACCCTATAAACCCTATAAACCCTATAAACACTATAAACCCTATAAACCCTATAAACCCTATAAACCCTATAAACCCTATAAACCCTCAACCCTCAACCCTAAACCCTAAACCCTAAACCCTAAACCCTAAACCCTAAACCCCCTAAACCCCACACTTGAGGTTGTGACGTGGACGGCCCTGGTGAGCGGATGCAGCCGGAGCCGCTCTCGGAGCTTAGAGAACTTGCTGCAAGCCATGGAAGGCTTACGAACATGGGTTCAGGGTTCAGGGTTCAGGGTTCAGGGTTCAGGGTTCAGGGTTTAGGGTTTAGGGTTTAGGGTTTAGGGTTTAGGGTCCCACCCAATATATCCCCTAATCACAAGGACCGCCAATAAAGGTAACCCTAATATCGTAAAGGCCGGGCCGAGAAAATAAGTACCCTACACAAGGTTATACCCATAGATACCCTACTTCTGCCCCACCTCTAAGTACGCTAGTGAATTTTCAGTACTGCCTCTTTGTGTCCATCCCAGCTGCTTGCCCTTCGACTTGCCGACCTACTCCTCACGTTTCGTGCCCATCCTGTTCGCCCTCTCTGTTCCGCGCATGATTGCCTGCCCGCACACATGGGCATACAAGTCGCAAATGCTTCTGACAGAGTATTTCAGTTTTGCGCCGTCTCTTCGACTTTGCGTTCTTGTGAATGTTCCCGGCCCCTGTCTGGCAAACTTGTCTTCACAGAGCAGGTCCAGGCTAAAGCGACGGCATGAAAACTTTCAACCCGCAGCAAGGGCATAATGAGATCCAACATAAGAAGGCCTTCCGACTGTACTACGGCTACGGGAGGGGAGGCATGGAGAGGCAGGCAGTTGCCCCAATGTACAGGTTTCGTGAGACATGCCGCGTGCATCAGCCCGAATTGTCGTCCACTGCTTGTGCTCCCAGCTGGGATTGTTGTCGTCCAAAGCCTGATGCTCAATTCAAGCTTTTGCCTACAGTAATAAGCCCGTAAAGCCTAACCAGTTGAAGCGCTAGACCTGGAAGAATGCCCCGGGATTTCAAAGGCAGATGCTCTGGCTTCAGGCCGCCAAACTCTTGCCTAAGCCTGAGGCGCGTGGCTGGAGTATGGATCGAGGTAGGTGCCTCCTTCGGGTTTAGGACCCTGCTAAGAACTGTCTCAGATGGGCTCAGACAATCGTAATCATATACTGAATGATAATAAGTAGTAGTAAAAAAATAACAAGGATTGTAACAATAATCCGTAGTTGCAAAAACTCGTAATAGTCGCAAAATACCGGGCCAGCCGAGGGTTGCGTTGCCTTGTCCACCTCCGCAGCCTGAGACACTAGCACCTTTCCCGCAACCCAGGAAGCGGATGCGGCGTTGGAGCGTCCGTGCCAACGTGGGTCCCTGATTCGTTCGGGCCGAGATTCGGGGGTGGAGGGGGGGGGGTTTTGATATTCAGGGTAGGAGGCAAGGTATTGGCGGCCCGGTCACGGCGACTCGGAAGCGCCCGATATAGTTCGGAGGTTTGGCAAAGTGCTGAAGTCGGAGTGTCGACCTAAACCCTGAACCCTGATTGCTTCGCAGGAAGTGCAGGCGAGCGATTTTGTAGCATCCCAAATTCGTAAGTCCTCCCTTGTAAAGATCCCCAAGATGATGATCAGGATCGTGTGCAGGACCGTTCGCATAAACCCTAAACTCTGAACCTTAAGCCCTTGTGGTGTGTGGACCCGGCCTGGCCGATTCATTTATTCCGCGTTTCCAGG